AGCAACTGGGATCTTAAAAGCTTGCAAGCAGCCATCTAGATGTAATGGTGGGTCTCTCCTCATCCAGAGCAAAGAAGAATGAAGAAAACCAAAGACACATGGAAACAATTAGTCCGGGGGACCAGTACACCATGTATCTTAAGCCTATACGACTATGAGACCAGAAGAACTAGATGGTGCCCAGCTACCACTGTCAGCCACTCAGAGAGGGATCTCTGTAGGAAATCTTGGATAGAGTAGGAGAACAATGTGGAACAAAACTCAAAATCATTATTAATGAAAAAAAAAAAAACGGCCAAGTTTGCTGGTCTGATAGAGCCTGGTAGAACCACTGAGACTATGGCCCATAGTTGCCCTTTAGGTGTGGAACTGACCTTACTCATGTGGCTTCCAGCCAAACAATAAACAGGCACACAGGGTGAATGAACATTTAGATAATGTAGATAACACTCCTTACAGTGATCAATATGGGGGAACAGAAGGGCAGTATTTGCACAGGGAGATAGCTTGAGTGGCTGGAATGCATAGGGAAGAAGGACACATGGAAGAGGAAACTACAGGCCGGAAGTGGGAAGAGAACTGTTACATTGTGGGGAATTGCAGTCAATGTCATGAAACAAAATGTGTATGAACTGTTGTATGGAAAACAAATTTGCTCTATAAACTTTCACCCAAATCACAATAAAAATTTAAAAAAAGTTTTTAAAACACTAAAATGGCAATTTTTGGTATATATAGTTTACCAGTTAAATACACACGCATATTATATACATACAAGTGTGTGTGTGTATATATATATATATATATATATATATATATATATATCACACACACACACACACACACCCCATAGCCTTTAAAAAAAAAACTGTTAGAAGAAACTACTGGAATAAGACTGAGCATCATTTTAATTATAAATGTAAGTTTTGTGAAATTCCAGATCTGAAAGCATGGTACAAACACACATAGAAATAACTCTGACCTTATTCATGTCCATCTTACGTTTCAATCATCTGTATTCAGCTTGCTCCAGACCAGGGACTCCAGCCTGCAGATCAGCCAACAGATATGAGACGAAGGTGTGAAGAAGAAGCACAGGAAATTGTTCGACATGCAAATTCCTCAACAGGACAACCCTGTGTTGAAAATGAAAATCTTACAGACTTAATCTCCAGACTTACAGCTATTTTGTTACAAATTAAGGTAAATTTCAGAGAAAATATTTTCCTAACTTTGACACTTAACAAAACTATACTAATTCGTTGCTAAGAAATTATAATCAATAGTTTATGTCAGTAAGTTCATGAGTGCATTTAAACTGTAATTAAATATTGCAATAAGTTTTTTCCTTTAGTGTCTAGCAGAAGGAGGAGACCTGAATTCCTTTGAGTTCAAATCACTTACAGATTCATTAAATGATATCAAGAATACAATAGATGCTTCTAATATCAGGTAAGTCATTAGGTGCTCCCTAATCATTGTTATATTAAATTCATAGTGATTTCCATTACTAGGTTTAAGAATAATACATATTTGTGATGTATTCATATAAGTCATCCTTTAAATAAATCTAAAAAGAGTTAATCAGTTATATCCAATCTATTGACAGAATAGAAATTTCACATGGAATTTTTTTTTAGTCAAAGGAATCAGGAGACTTCCTCGTTTTTGTTTTCACATGGAGGTTCAACTTAGAAGTAGAGCTTCCCCAATTAAAGAGCGGCTTGTCTTCTTCTTCCAGCATTCTGTGGTTCTCTTGCCTGTCCAGAGCAAATTTTTTTCAGTGAGCTCTGGAGCAGAATTATGGTTACTATATAAGAAGAGATTTATTCCTTCCATGAGGTCATTATCTTACTTACATCCTAAATAAAATTCAGATTTTTCTTTTTTAAAACTTGTTTATCTAAATGTCATCAAATAATATCACTAACCATATTTGTTTTTTCTTTAGCTGCTTTCAGAATAATGTAGAAATCCATGTTGCACATATTCAGAGTGGCCTGAGCCAAATGGGAAACTTACATGCCTTTGCAGCCAATAACACCAACAGAGACTGAGTAGAAGATTTAATTATTCCATCTGCGTAGGACATTGTTTTTGAGAAGTTCTTTTCCTTTATATAGGCTTCCAACACCAAATACCTAATTGCTGGAAAACAAAGGAAATTGAAGTCTCCAAATAAGGCATTTTAATATATTGTACTGCTTCTTAAACCAACATTACTGACCAGCATTATATTTTTCTTTTTTAATATTCAGCTGCAGTAGCATTGCTTACGTTACATATGTTTATTAGCAAGTATTTTTAAACTGAAAATGTCTGAACACATTAATACAATTTCATGGAAGAATATGTTAACCATTTTTTAAATGTGTGTGAAATCAACCCAGCGCATGCAGACAACTACTGCAGTGGAGAAGAAGAAGAAAAATGGTCAATTTGTGCATATCAGTGGCAATGTGGAAATTCACCTAGGAAATTACAATGCCAGTTGATTCAGTTGATCAAAATCTCAGTGTAAAAAGCTAACATCATGAGATGTGGGAAGAAGCACTCTTTTTTAAGGAAGCCACTGGAAGAGAGATGAGAAATAAGGACTTTACAGGTGTATGTGACATATACTTGCAATGTGGCTCTACAGATCATTTTATAATTTTAAATATTTTAATTTATCATAATTTATAAAAGAAACCTTTGTCGTTTGTTCAAACATAAAAAATGAAGGAACAGGAAACAAAGCATTACTGCAGAATGCTAAATTTCAGCAAGTGGATTTGGCATGTCTTTTCCCGTCGATTCAGGGCAAAAAAGTGTTATTGTTATGAGATTTATTAAAAAGAAAAAGACTGATAACACACTATTTTCATATTTTTTGTTTATTTGCACAACTTGTAAGCCAGATTACTGGTTAAAATCCAACAGTACACAATTTATAAAGTTAAAAAGATTTTTGTAAGGGAAACTGATAACCAGTGCTATCAAATGCAGAAGAAAGGTTTGTTTAGGGTTTGTTTTGGGGGATAGGGGCTGGAGGGTTGTTTTTTAAAGAAACCCCTGTCTAGATTGTTAATCTTGTAAAATATGTATTTGGAATTTTCTTTGTTTTAATATAGAATATATAAAGTTGAAGTATAATGAATTGTTTTCAGATTTGGAGTTCAAGAAATAACTGTAGAGGTGCTTTTGATTCTTTCAGATGTCTCATAAAATGGGGCTTTTTATATGTTAATGTAAAATAAAACTTAAATAAGATTATTTTCCATTTGAAATTTTTGTATAGTTTAAAAATGCTTCTGTATTCTTTGTTGGTATTGTGCCACTGCAAAACTTTAGTGCAGAGTTTATATTTAGCTAAATTGTTATGTTAATTAAGAAATACATAAATCTTTTATTCTTATGATATTTGTAATTCTAAATAAATTGATCTATGAAAATTAATGTTGTCTAAATTTAGTGGCTAAGACACTTGCCTGCTAAGCAGACGGCTGGCGGTTCAAAACCCACCAGCCACTCCTCGGAAGGAAGGTTGGGCAATCCTACTTCCGTAGTGATACTGCCTCGGAAACCCAAGGAGGGGTCGCTATGAGTCAGGGCTGACTCGACGGCACATAACAACAACAACAACAACAACAACAAATTCTCATTTAATTAATGCAAGTTGATAAATATTCCTCCTTTAAAAAAACATTTTGAAGTATAATTCCCACTAAATTTTATTTTTAAGGAAAACAACATAGATTCATTACATAGTCATTTTAAAGTATGATACCATCAAGTATTATGTAATGGAGGATTTTTTTCCATCTGTGGAAAAATTTAAATCACATTGAGCAACTAAGTGTGACTTAGTATAGAGCCAATGAAAAGGCTATTTTAATATAGTCTGTTGAGAATTAGGCTAGTGTTTAAGATTTTTTTCTTCCATTTGTTAAGTCTCACTTAAATAGCACCTTGTTTTATATGTATTTAATAAAATAAGTATTGTTCATGTCTTTCAGTGCCATCATATGTTGGCAGCAGGGACTGTGCTAAAAAATATTTAATTTTATATCTGTTTAGGGAAGAAGAAATCTGTGTAATTCAAAGTTGTCGTTTGGGGTCAGCTGTACATTGGTTTATAAGATGCTGCCACTGCCATTGCCACTACTAACACATTTCTGAAACTCTAAAGATAGCTAGATTGAGCCAATAAGCAAAGCACACCACCTGCTTTTTATTTATATAGATTTGGTACTGGATTCCTTTAAACTATGTTCCAAAATTCAGATTCATTCACTACCATTAAGAGTCTATGAAAAGATTTGCCTGTTAAATGTTTTCTCTTGAAACCATGCACCTCCCTCCATCTTCATGACCACCACTACTCTCACCCAGTTACTAGCATCACTAGCCTGGACCACTGCAGTTGTCTCCTAACTTGCCTCCCTGCTTCCACTCAGCCTTCCTGTAGGGTATTTTATAACCTGCAGCCAGAGTGAGCTTCTTAAAATGCAAAATTGTTCATGTTACCCTGCTGTCTAAAGCCTTTAAAGTCAATTGTGACTCAGGACAAATTCAGAACTACTCTATCTGGCCTACAAAGTTATGTTGGTCTCGCCTTCCCTACCTATTTCACCATCCTGCTCCATACTCCATGGGTCTTCACACATGCAGCGCTCTGTTTCTTCATCTTAGGAACTCCTGAGCTATAACTTTCTTTAAATATCCACCCACATCTTTTACATTTTGTCCCCAGATCCTCTCCTTCCAGCACTTGTCACATTTACAGTTTCATATTTCTTAGAGTGATCTTTTATCTCCATACAGGCCTCTTTGTTCCCTGAGGAGAGGTCCCATTTCTGGTTTTGCTCCCCACTTTATTCCCAGGCCCTGTATTGATAGGTATATTGGTGAGAACTTTGAGCAGTGTTGGTGTCAATGGAATAAGGGTATGGGCATCCATGATGATTGCTTTGAAAGATGAAACGATACTCATTTAGATGTAGAAAGTCTGATTTGGGGGTTGTTCTGAACCTATCACATTACTTTATCATTAGTCCTGACTATAAAAAGGTCAGTCCAATGTCTGAGGCATTATCCAGTGGAGGATACATGTGTGGGCTGAGCTAGTCCTAGGTTTGAATCCTGTCCATGCCATTTACTAGCTCTGTGATTGTGGGCCAGCTACTTATATTAAGTTTCTTCTCTAAAATGGAATAGTCCCTACCTTACATGGTAATTGTAAGGATTAAATACATGATACTTGTAATATTTAACACTCAGGGACTCTTAGAAGCTGAGAGAAGTACAGGCTACTCCTGATTTTAGAGAATCCCACCATTTGCAAAAATTTAAAATATGACAACAAAATTTAAATATTTATATATTTTAATTGTTCATTTGGAAAAATAGAATTTAACACAATACAAATGCAATAATACAATTCATAAGCTAATTACAAGATTTTTAAATGTGACTCCTAGAGAACGGTTAAGTTCAAAGTTTTTTGACACATGTTTTTCAGCCTTTTGAATATATCTGCATCATTCTGTTAGGCCATATCACCAGTCTAAATGTGAAGCACTCTCTGATTGTGAGACCTCCTGGTCACCCCTATGATAGGCTCTAAGCACAAGAAGGCTCATAGTAGCACTTAAAATAATATTAGCTAATGTTTATTATCTCATTTTGGTTTCAGACAGTTTTCAAAGGGTTCAGAATTCCAGTTTGTTACTAAAGCCTGGACTATGTTCTTGTTGCTTTTAATAGTGGATTTACTACTCTGCAAAGTACAAACCATTTGAATTGAATAACATCTCTATGAAAATTAGGGCAAATGGCATATATACTCTCTAAGATACTGAGTAATCAAGAGATGTGCTGGCCCTAGCCATGGCTTCCCATGAGCCTACTCTAAGCCATAGTTTATAGAGAAACCTTCCCCACAATTATCCCATATAGTTTCCTTTGGCCCTTGGGAGTTTAAAAAATACCAAAACTTTTCATTTTGGAACATTCATTTACATACATTAAAATTTTAAAATTGGTAAAGCTCCCAAAACCAAAATACTCATAAATGTGTTATTAAACTTTGAACAAGCAAAGAAATATTTTTAATCAAGTTCGATTTTTTAGCAAAGTGGCCTGCTGATACTATTTGGCCTATAAACTAGATTTGCAGAAACTCCTCTTTTTTTTTTTTTTGTCTTAGAATTGTTTTCCATGGCTACCTCATATGTACTGAACAAGCACTGTACTAAGTGCTGTTTAAAGGAGAGAACAGAATTACAGTAAAGCATTTGTGGAAAACAATGAATAACCCACTAAAGTTGCACAGGAGTACCATAACAAGTGCTAAGGGCAGTGCTGGAATGGTTGAACTAAAAGGTACATTATCAGGATTATTTAGAAAAAGTTACGGTCTTCAGAAAGAGGGAGTGTCAGTGTTTTGAAAAAGAGAAAAGTAGTAATCTGGTTCCAAAACTAAAAGGAGTGGCTTTTAAGACAGAGGTACAAACTTATTGGAAGACACTAAGAAAATTATGGGCTCACTTAATAGGCTAGAGAAGATGTCAGTTGGTTATCTGGAAGGATAATTGAAGGATTTTTATAATTTGGTACCAATTGGAAGCTACTTGATTTCTAAAGAAGGTCATTTTAAAGAATAGTTGAGAAACTACAGGCAGAGGGCCCTTGGAATCAGGATGCAAGGCCATCAGAGCTAAAGTTATGTGTGAAGAAGACAGGCCAAATTTAAAAAAAAAGGATTGGATTGGAGTTCTGGTGGCATAGTGGCTGAGGCACTTGGCTGCTAACCAGAAGGTTGGCAGTTCAAACCTTCTAGTTGTGTGGAAGGAAGATGAGGCAATCTACTTCCATAAAGATATATAGCCTTGGAAACCCTGTGGGGGTCACTATGAGTTGGAATTGATGTGATGGTAGTAGTAGGTGATAGGATGAGGGTTGAAGGAGATGGGTTTAAGTTAGTTTAAGGTTATAAGCCTTGGAGGGAACATGAGAAGATGGAAGCACAAGGGGAAACTGAGTCAAGTTGAGGGGTCCTTGTGAAAAAGATAATGAGTTCTGAACAACTGGCCCCCAAAATAAGAATAGTACTAGAAGAAACAGGGATGTAGACTGAACTGAGTGTGCAGATACGGAATTAAAGAGGTAAGATGAGTGCCAGAACTCGTGGGATGTGTGCCACTGAGACAGAACAGGACATGGGGAAAGGTTCAGAGGTGAAAGGGGAGGAAGCCTCAAAGGTGAGAGATGATACTCAAAACCACTGTTGAGCTTAATATGAAACTCTCCTTAACACGGAAGCCATAAGGGACAGTTCTGATGTGTGTCTCTCTGGTTTTCAGTCATGGTTCCTCTGAATTTAGCCTTGAGTTCTCCCAGAATCCTCAAGAGTTACCAAAGGCAGAAAAGATGTGTTCCTCCCATGAGTCCAGCTTTGAACCAATGTCTTCAGGGAGGGAGGAGTAGGTTTCAAAACTCTGGCCTTGGGAACTAGGGTCAGAGAGCCCCGCTCCACCTCTGTTGTGATGCGGCAAGCAGTTCACATCTACCTCTAGAGGCAGGTGGGGCTTCAAACATTTTGCTTCAGTTCCAGGAGCAGAGTGGTTGAGGAGAAACTCTGGCCTGGCTGAGGAATGAAAGGATTTCCCACTCTGACGCCGTGACTTGGCACGCCTGTTCTGGAACCACACCTGGAAGGGGAGAAAACAACTGCTTTTGGCTGAAGTACTTATGCCACTGATACGTTCATAGTTCACCATAATAAGTTCCAGTTTAACATTTCCTGTCCAAAAGTTTTTTTAGTTTTCAGAAAGTACTTGAGCTGATGGTTAGAAGCACGGAGCTCCTGGCTTTCTCTGCCTCACCATTCCCATATACAAAATTGGAATAATGCTTAGTTCTAGCTATACACTATGGGGACATTTACAGTGAAAAATAGGGTCACAGAAGCAGAAGCATGTAGAATTCCTACAAATTCTATTTAGAAGTAGAAGCATTTAGAATTCTTACAAAAACATGCTACAACACTTACAAATAGATTAAAATGATTTAGAAAATTGGTTTTTCAAGTTCTGTACTCCCTTGTCAAATTAATCAAGAAGATATTTTGTTCAGTGGACTTCATTTCTGTGAATAAAAATTTCTGCACATTATTTCCCCACAAATACGGAGATATCCTGCTTAAGAGGCCTTTTTGCTAACTGTTGAAACTGACAGATGAATTACCGCCAGGTATGCAGAGAGAAAATAAAAAAAAAGTCCACTGTCTTCCAGTGTGGAAATGAGGGTTCCTACTTAAAACTGCAGGAATCCTCAGGTGGTGCAAATGGTTAAGCACTCAACTACTAGCTGAATGGTTGATAGTTCAAATCCCCCCAGAGATGCCTCAGAAGAAATGCCTAGCTCTTCCTAGCTATCTACTTCTGAAAGGTCATAGCCATTGAAAGCTCTATGGTCACCATAACTCTCGGCTATGAGCAGGAATTGACTCTGGTAATCGGTTGGTTTTACTTTTACTTTTTACATAAAACTGCCTTGGACATAGACCAAGTAAGGTAGGCTTCTTATTACCACCAAGCTCCAGGATTCTGATCAGGCAAATAAAAGCACCTTGCACTAGATTTTGTTTTTAAGGTAGGAGGTTGGTTCAAAATGTGACAAGAAGGCAAGCCGTTCCAAATGCTTCTGGCTTTCCCTCAAGACGCTACATCCTTTGGAACCAAAATTCCACAACAAATACCTGCCAAGAAAGTGGTCAAGGGGACTCACTTGGTGAGCCTTTTCTCAGCTACCATCCCCAACTCAAAGCCAGAGGCAAATCCCAACTACACCTCCTCTAACTCCTCTCCCTGCATGAGGAAAACGCGTAGAACGTACTTTCTATTATCTTCCTGTTGGTGTTTTACTTTTCTGACAATTTCAGAGACACAGCTAGCCTCCTCGCAGGGATAACTGTGTTCCTGAATTGTTTCCTGTAAGCTTCGCAATCATCCTAGGTGGGAGGTACTGTTATTATCCCTATTTTACAACCCAGGATCCAGGCTCAAGGTAAGCAACTTGCCCAACGCAACTCAACTGGGCAGTGGGGATCCGGGGCCTCAGGAGCCCTGGATCCTGACTTCTTCCAGTGCCTCCGCTCCAGGGCGAACTGTGAACCGACGGGCTGGCCGGGCCCCTCACCTGGATCCTGGATTCCGGGAGCAGGGTAAGCGCGGCCAGGCGCTCTCGCAAGTGGATGTCGGGGTACATGGTCCGACGAAACACGAGCTCCAGCAGCTGCAGCTGCTCTGGGCTGAAAGACGTGCGCTTGCGGCGCTGCGACGCCGACGGGGCGGCCGCTCCAGGTGGGGGCGCTGGCGAGCCCAGGTCGGCGGGGGAAGGCGTAGCCTGCCTGGTGTCCCTCCCGAGAAAGCCCGCGAAATTGGCCGCCGCCGGAGCGCAGCGCGCTGGGCCTGGAGGCGGCGCGGGGAGCAGGGCAGGGCGCGGGGGCTGCAGGAAGGGCCCTACGGCGGGGGCGGGCCGGTACCCGGGGACCTGGGCGCTCTCCCCGAACTGGAACCGGTTGGACTCTGCTGCGGCCATCGCTGCGCGACTCCAGTGCACCACCCCGGAGGGGGACGCCCTCTAGTTATACAGGCCCCGGGCCGAGGGAGGGGGCCAGGCCGGGCCAGAGGTGGCGGCGCGATCAAACAGATGGACGCGGGGAGGCCCGTGCCTCCTCGGGGTGCGAGCCCGCCCCCAGCCTTGCCAGACGCCGGTGGGGAATAATCGCTTCCGCTGACCGTGGGACGGAGGGAGGGAGGCGTGAACTTGGGCCCAGACCCCCTTGCGTCCTTTCCCGTGTCCATCCGCTGTGCCACCCATCGCAATCAACATCCCCCAGAGATGGTTTGCTGGGGAGGGGCAGCCCACAGGGGCCTGAGTGCGTGGGGTGACTGCGGGCAGGGCCGTCCTGCTTGGCCAAGGGCCTTGGCCCCTGTATTTCTCGTATTCCCTCCAGTCATCATCAGAGGTTTTTATTTATCCCCTCCTGCTAGTGCTAGACCCTGTACCAGGTTTGTTAAACAGCCCAGCCCCTGGCCTCTGCTAGCCTCCCAACACATCCTGAGTCAGAGGAGGGGGCTCAGATAAAGGGATCTCAGATAAAAGGGCAGTAAACTCACTCTGAGAAAGGACAGGGGGTGAACTCTTCTGCCTGGAAGGTCCGTTAGGATACTCTAGGCCTTCAGGGTTGAACAGGGGCGGGCTTTTAATAGATCAGCGGTTTGGCCCAGGCCCTGTGGAGCTGGAAAGGAGATGAAAGGGGCTCCATGAGGCTTCCACTCTCTGAAGAAATCACCAGTCCTTCCTCTGCCCTTGGGCCTTGTTTAAGGTTCCATTTTATCCTGATTTGTATGACAGTTATGGTTATGTGACTGCTTCTCCTACTAGATTGCAAAATCCTTGAGAGTAAAAGCCCACTTACCTCATTTGTTCGAGTGTACTTACTTAGTGTCTACTTTGTATATTTGCTATGTGTAAGGCCCTATGCTGGACTCTTTTTTTTTTTTTTTT